GTTGGATTTATGTAAAAATTAGTAATATATGTATTTGTGAGTTTATGTTAAAAGAATTAACATAAATATGTAGAAATTTTCAACGTGGCTTATAGAAATAATTAGAATATTTTGATTAATTAATTTAATTGATATATACTTTAAAATTTCCGTTGATTAGGATTTAATCCCTGAAATTGATGTGGGATCCCTCACGTTGGAGAATATATTTGACTTTGATTGTGCGCACGTGTGTTGACTGAACAGAAAGTGACTGAGCACGTGTGTCAAAATTTCAATTTTTTGTTTTTTATGGACCAGAATGATTTATTTACTTGTAGTTCGATTTTCTAAATCGAACCTTTTAAAAATTAGCAGGTCGTAGAAATTAACACGGAAAACTCATAATTCAAACTAAAACAAACACTGATAAAAAGAAGAAGAAGAAAAAACATATGGACCCATAACGTGTAAGACGTATATTAGTCTTACCCTTGAAGAAATAAATAATAATAAGCCTTTTCTTGGCTGCTTCGGCGTCCGAGTCGTAGATGGATGTCATGTCCGTTCACAGCCAACATGTTTATTGGCTTTTTGTTTGCTCGAAAAGAGCTAAAATCTCCGAGTTCCTTTCATTTTCATTTTTTTTATAAACCAGTTGAAGTTCAGAATTTTTGATTCACTTTCGTTTTAAAGTTCTTTTAAGCAAAACTTTTGCACGTCAAACCGGTACTAATCCCTGAAATTTGCAGAAGTCCGAATTATCTTTGGACCGTTCGATAGCAAATTAAACTCTATTGGTGAAGCATAAAATATATTAATATATTGTGATTTTTAGGTATAAGTATAACTATATAGTGAGGGCAAGTTTACAAAATTTGTGGTGATACTGATATGTAGCACATATTGAAAAATCGTATGAACCAACTGTTAGACGATAACGATAGTGCATAACTTAAAATTAGTACTAGTAGGCTAGTAATTTTAGTCACGAGTTGTTTGATTATGTAACTATATAATGAAATGACAGATTGCCGTTTCTCATGCATCATCATAAGGGGAGATGAATCTACAAAACCAAAAGGAAATTAACTAGTATATAAGACATTATGTGGATGATATTGATCGAGAATCAGAATCTCTTTTGGTGAGTGTGTGTGACTATGAGTGCTATCTTGTGATTGCTATTCTTTTGCAGCCTTCGTTCACGAACCAAACTTAATAACAACAAGAATCTACCAAATTGTACAGCCGACATCGGTCCCGCATTTTTTTTTTTAATTTTGTAAATAACACATTAGCATAAATCAGGTGTGTTTAAATTTGAGTAGTGACATATACTAGCACAAACTAATAAAGTACATGTTTTGATTGAATTTTCTATTGTCCGATTGGTGAATTTTAAATTGATGTTTTTTGTCGCAAAATAACATTAGCCTTAAACGTATATACACATACTAAAAATTGATTGAAAAAAATTTTAAAAAAAAAATCATTGTATAAAATAAACATTTTTGGGTTTTTTGGTTTACAATAAAAAATAAAGATGGGCCGAACCATAAACCCATAATGGATCTGGTTAGGAACCCCTACCCTAAAACTACTAGACCTAACCCATCACCCACAACCAGCCCATTACACACAATCGGACTTTTACCACATACCAACCCATTACAAAAACCGACCCAACCCACAGCCGGTCCACAAACAAACATGCCCAAACCCTAAATCTATGGTTGAGGCAAACCCTAGCGTCACAGGACCGCCGCCAAGGACGCCACCGCCGCAATCACCGACGACACAGGACCACCGTCGATGGGGAGAAAAGATTTCTAGCAGATCAGGGAGTCGAACCTTCAAACACTTCTAAAGCGTCATATGTTGCGTTGAATCCTTAGAATACTCTCCACCTAGCCCCACAAATCAAAATCGAAGAGAGATAACACCAAGACCACATGAACAAAAGCGGCGGAAGAGGGAAAAAGACCGCCGCGGCTTAGATATATCCTGGAGAACTAAACCTAGCAATAGATCTCCCACCCCTAAAAGATCTACAACTAGAGATATACATCCATCATATCTACCTCGCATGGCCACTTACAGCCGGACCGAGGCTGCGCTGACGGAGCCACCGCTGCATGCAGAACCAGACTAAGCCACCTTGAGGGTCGAGGAGGAAATCGTCACCGGAGCTCCAAAGAGAAAGAGGCTATTGGATCTCGTCAAAAAAACCCAACTAACTCCTCCTCTGGGACCACCGCCGGATACACGAATAACATGAAGGCTTTGTAGCTTTACCACAGTGAAGAACCGTGGGCCCCAAAAATGGAGTCGAGGGGACTCTCATAACGCCGGCAAAGCCGAACGCCGGAGAGAGAAAGGAGATCGGAAAGCGACGGCTGCTAGAGCCAATGGTTTTTTTGCTAGAAAAAAAAAAAGAG